TGGTCTTGGGACCGCACTTTGAAAATCTGCATTGTACACTCAAGAAGAAAAGATTTTTCCTGGTAGGTCTGTCTCTAGCTCAGTTGCATGTCCCACATGGAGCTCACTCTTTCCCATGGTACAAAACCCTCCTCAATTGCCTCCTTGGAATCTACACAGAGGAATCCCTGAGCTTTACTTTTTCAGGATCTACCACTTTACAGAACCAGCTTCTTTGAGATGTTGTTTAAATGTGATTTCTCACCTAGCCACACAGATTCTCTAAAAGCTCAAGATTCTCATGTAAACTTCTTGAACATTGTTTAGCCCCTGGATGGCCCACAGTCCCTATCATCGTTGTTCAGGTTTCATAGTCTCCTTAATCAAATATTAGCATAATGTATTAGCATATCTATAGCACAATTATATTTTGATTGCTCTCGTCCCAGTCAGACTAAAGGCTGCCTTCAATCTAGTTATAAATAATTTAGAATGTTTATACCAAAGGGAATTATAGGGGAGGGAAGAAAGGAAAGAGAACATTTGTGTGTGTCGGGGGGCGGGGATGAGGGGGTATTGGGAAAGTAAAGATGGGGGCAAAAGGTAACTTAGATTGCCACTTTTTACCACAACTTTTTTCTAGGCTATTCCCAGTAAGGTAATGTGAGTTATATATATTCAAAATACAGATACCATTTTGAATTGCTTTAAATCCTCTCCCTCCTTTAATCTCATTACATCTGTCAAAATATGTCTCATTTACTAAGTAAAAAGTAGAAGCTGGTTTCCAGCACCTCTTTCTTCCTTATGGCCTGATCTCTGTGTAAATGCATCCTCCTGTGGTTCATCTTTGAAAGATCTCTCTTCCCTTGTCTGATTAACTTCCTCCATGACCACTGACTGATACCGTGTATCTTTGTGCTACTTTATTGTCCACTTGGAAACCTGATTTCCTTTTATTAGTGTTCTCTATAATAGGTTAGCAGAAATCTTATTTGGTTCTGTTATAAGTAAAATTTTGATGCCGCTAAAGAAATAGCACTCGAAGATAAATCAAGCAAGGCAGTTTACTTCTACGGAAGTATGTAGTGCGCAGATGGAGCAATGGTGGCCACACACTTGGACAAAGGGGAAGGGGTACTTATGTCTGACGGGGGTCATCTCTACTGCTGTGTCATTCCCCCATTGGCTAGGGTTAGACCGCACAAGCTAAAACTAATCCTGATTGGCCGGATCAGAGCTGGAGTGGCAGGGTGGGTGTTCTGGCAGGAAGGACAGTTATGGGCGGGTCAGAGCAGGTAGTCAGGGGAGACCTAGGTGACTGGGTTGAGTCAGGATGGAGCCGCAGCGTGGGGTGGGGGGGTCGGGGAGGGGCAGAGTACAGAAGTGAACTACTGATTAGAATCGGTGGCAAAGGTTTTTTACTGGAATTACAAGGAAGTTAAACTTTAGAGAATTAAAGAATAAGAAAACTGAACATACTGACATACTGATTCTTTGAAGAGAAACTTGGGGTTTACTATAACAATCTTGAATTTTAACGGTTTTTATTTTACTTTTTTTCTTTAAACTTCCTTAACATGTCTTGGCTTAGTTGTTTTGTTTGTTCTTCTAAAAGAAGTAATCTATCTGAATAGGGTAGAGGAGGGGTTGGGATATTTTAGTAAGAGTTGTGTCTACTAGCCTCTGCACAAGTCCTCGGATGCATGGTGTGACACTACATCTAATGAGAAGTGTAATTATCACAGTTGCTAGAGAGGTAAGAACTGAGGTTATGGTGTCTTTCCATTGACTGAATCATTTTTTGAACCAATTTGAAATAGGGTTATTGAGGCCAGAGTCTTAACCAGCTTATTTGATAAAGCAGTAGGTACTTGGAGGGCTTTTGTTATGCACCCATTGGGAGCAGTGTTCTTTGGAATAAAGGTACAACACTGGGTTTTAATTGTAACACAAACACCATCTTTCTCTGCTAATATTACATCTAGGGCTATTTTTTTAGGCCATTTGGCTAGTGGATCCTAATTGTTCAGCTATTCCTTTGACAGCATTTTTAGTATAGTTAACAAACTGTTGTTGATTGCAACAAGTGTAGTTTATTTAATTTATGATTTTTTTTAATTAATTGTTACCTACCAGAACAGCATTGACTTAAATTTTGCAGCTATTTGCTCTCAGTCTTTAAATTTATCTGGTACTCCTTAAGGAACTCCAATTGCATCTAAGTACATATGAGAATTAAAAGACCTATAAGGAGCTTCTTTTATTTTCTGATATCATATTTTTTTCTTTTTCTGGTTGATGAAATGTCAGAGTAAAAGGGATAGACAATTAGACTGGAGCACAAGTGCCTCTTCAATTATTTGGGAGAGCGTCCAGTAAAGGTCCGCCACAATACCACCATACATCCGCTTGGGGATGAGTAAAGGTGGACTGGTGAGCCAGCTCTTAGAAGTACCTGACTTTACTGCATCCTGTTAAGTTTCCAAGGAACACTAAATTCTCCCCCTGTCACGAGAGACACGAGGCAAACTTTGCCTTGGGAGATGGAGGCCGTGTCGTCCTTGGGGCTGAACTGCAACGTGCTGAACCTTAGGAAATAGCAGAATAAGAACTTGGCACAATTCCTTATTCCAGGCATTGGAATCCTGAGGAAGAGTTACTATGCATTCCAGGTCCACTTGATTTGGGGATCATCCAAGTGGAAAGGCGACAACCTGGGCCTCTGGCCTACTGTGCGCACAAGCGTAGCAGTTGCATTTATTTAAGGCATGAATGGAATATTTAATCTATTCTAACCAGGCATTTGCATGCTTATATCCTGTTTTAATGACTGTGGTTTGCCTTAGGTACTTTACTTTTACCAGTGAGAGTTTGGTTTTGTTATTGTGTTTAGGAGGCATGATTGATAAAGAGATTGAAGGACCAATTAAAGTACATTTTAACAATTTCTTTCGGATTCTTTCCTGAAATGTTAGCCCCTATACCATAAATACGACTTAATAAAGGCAAAGAGTTTTCAGGTGTTGCCATAACAATAGTAAACTGTATAGGATTACATTGGTTATATTGACAGCTAGAAGGAGTAATTCCTTTGGTGAAGTTCGTATATAGTTTTAAGGACTGACAAAGACCTGTGGAAGCAGTCCGTCTTAAACTTTTAGTGTTCCATATGGCATTAGACTAAGCAGAACATAGAGATTCTGTTTTAGAGGGATAAGAGTCTGATTCCTACCAAATAATACAGCTGCTATTCCTTGGATTACTAGTATCCATAGAGGAACTCACTATGTCTTCCGAATCTGAGGAAGTCTAAGAGGGACAGAGACATCCTTCTGAAGCAGCAAGCTGTCCTTGGTTATGCAAATTTCCAAAAGGCATAAATAAAAAGACATCAAAGCAACAACTTGAGGTAAGCCAGATCTAATCACATTAATAACGAGATGGAGAGTAGTTAGAGAGAAGAAAAAAACGAGATAGACTAAGCTTTTCTTAGCTTTAACTTGGTAGGCTCTGATCCCAGAACAGTAGCCCATGATTTTAATGGTGATGGTGCTTTCTTGACTCAAGTGTGATGTGTTCATCTCTTTTCTGCTGTAATAATGGCAGTCTTGGTGGCTAGCAGCACGAGGTAGGGTGGTCTCCAGGCTGGTGCTGGTGTACCGGAAACTTTAGGGTGGCGTCTGCGCTAAAAGACCTTTAGTTCTGAGGGAAGGGAAAGTGGAGATAAACCAAGTGTATAAACTGATATTTTTGTTTTAAATCTAGGGAGATTAGTAGCAGGATGTTTTTTGTGGGGGCAGTTTGGACTCTTAACAGAGTAATAGGCCTTCCTACTTTCTCTAGTGAAGGTGGGTATGAGGGAGTATGATATTTCTATGTTATATTCAGTACCTGGGCTAATTTCCCAATGACATGTGCAGTAAAATGAGTCCTATTATTTGAATCAATGCTTTAGATGACCTGTTATTTGAATCAATGCTTTGGAGGCATCTTTGTGTAATTCATCTGCACACTTTGGAATTGCCTTAAGCCTGGATTCCTTCCACAAATGGGTAATTTAAAAAAAATAGTTTATTAGTTTTCTTATATACGAAGCAACTGTTGGCAACCCATTTGGCCAGGGTATAAATCCCTGTGCACCCATAAACTCTGAAGACTGTGTCACACATGGTTTGGGGCCCCCAATGGATCCCTAGATACAGTTGGAAGCAGATTCCCCTCATAAAGAGTTTGGATAACATTTCTCTCCGGTCTGGCAATATTCACTTTCCTTCTGAATTCTCTTTAGCACCTATTTTTGTTAGTTTTCAGACCAAAGAAAGCCAAACACCATTTTATATTTGATAATGCTTTCTGAATGATTTTATATCAGATAAGCTAAGTTTCATCTTTATATTAGTGTGCTATTAATATTAAACTTAATTTTAATGAAACCTTGTAGACATATTTATCCAAATTTAATATCTGACCATAAGGTAAGATTTTTATAGACTCTTTTTAACCCTGTGTAATTTTTATTAAAGAGCAGGTTAGTGCCTTTAAAACAAACAAAAAACTGTTGTGCTTTTAATGTCCAGTTCACAGAAAAACTGGGTGATGCCGCTTTAACATAAGACAATATGTTTACATACAGAAATTCCTTTATAATTAACATTTTAAGACTTATTTAAACCTTTAAAACAAAATATACTTTTTACTTTTATAGGTAGAAATCCACATTCTACCTTATAATCCACATTCTCCTTAGAAATCGACATTTTCCTTATAATCTTTTTACCAAAAGTATATTTTATTTTCCTTACACACCTTGCACATAAAATGTTTCTTCAATAGTTTTACATTCAGGAGGCCTAATTACTTTTAAATTATACAACATTTTTTGCATAAATCCCCTTTTGTAACATTTTTCATGACTTTCGCAGACAATCTTTAACTTTCTGACTTGTACACATCCCTTTCTTTAAACAGCTGGTTATTTTATTTTAGCACAAAAATTTACCATATAAGATTCTTTTTACATGAATTCTCCTTTTTTTTAAATTTTTTTTTAAAAAAGATTACAATTCTTTTCCAAAGCAAACTTTATGTCTGTAGACTAGACTGCCTAAAGGCCACATATTAGAAGTTAAGATAATACATGTTACACTGTTAACTTTTAGCAAACTTTCTACATAAGTGTTGTCCAGTAATGCGTTTGTGCCATCCGTGAGTTACTGGGTTCAGGATTTTTGATAGGGAGGCTACTGGTTGTCACTGGCCTCCATGCCTTTGGGCAAGTATTTCTAAGGCTACACCTTTGTTCACACTGACAAAAAGGTTGAATGGCTGCTTAAGGAAGTAACATTCCCACATGCTGGATTTCTGGTAATTGCCAAATGAGGGGATTTAGCCTGTCTTTAATGAGCTTTTTGTATAAGGGCTTTAGTTTTAGAGCATAAGAGTGTATCCATGGAGGGAAACTCCACAAACCCTTGGGGTCTCCACTGGCATTGCTATTTTAGACTGGCATGAGGTTTTCTCACTTAAAGGCAAATAGGTCCTGGCTTTCTTTTGCCAATGGACAAGCCCAGAAGGCATCTTTTAAACCTACTATTGTAAAGTACTGGTGATTCTAATAGTCTAGGATTGGGAACAGCAGCGTTTAAGAAGCCCATCACGGAGAAGTCCTTCAATGATCAATTTTAAGTTTTCCATTTACCCTGGCTTTAAAAGAATAGGGCACATTGCTCTCTTTACTACTTCTGTCTCTTCCTTTCTCTCTCTCTCTGACTCTTTCTCCCTCTCTCTCTTTGACTCTGTATCTTTCTCTCTCTCTCTGACTTCCTCTGTTCCCTCTGTCAGTCTTTCTCCTCTAGGATTTCTGTTTGTTTTCCTCTTTCTTCAGAATTCTTTTCAGCTTTCCCTTTATGGTACTTGTTGGCTATGGGTCTCCTGCCGATATTTAACCTTAGATGGAGTTTACCACCCGCTTTAGGCTGCATTCCCAAGCAACCCGACTTCGGGAAGACCCAGGCTGGCATGCTGAGGGCACTGCTGGCTCACACGATTCACAGGCTGGGCCTCTATCAGAAGGACTTGGGTCCCCCATGAGTGGCGCGGCTCTGGGGCTCCCTCAGCCCCAGAATTTCCCAAGTGCTGCTGCCAGGGCTGTGACAGTGGTGGGGGGTGGGCCTGCTGCCACCCGAGGGGGTGGTGGACGGGGCCCCAGAGCCACGTTCCCCGCCGGGCCTTCCCAGGTGCCCAGGAGCGGGTCACAGCCAGTCGCTGGCTGAGGACAGTCCCCAGCTGACCCCACCCGCCCACCGCTGTACCTGCTGGAGCCCGCCCCCTCCGAGGAGGAGGAGAGGTGGTGGGGGAGAGAGGAACAGGGACCAGGAAAGAGCCCCCAGGCCACTGGCACCACCTGACCTGCGGCAGGGTTGAATCCTTTGGCCATACTGCACGGACTCCACCCATTTACCTCTTACCAGTTTCACGCCCTCTTGAACTCTCTTTTAGAAGTTGTTTGACAGGTTTATCTTTCTGGTTCTCATTTCTTATTTTTTAAAATTTCTTAGTATTTGGCCAATTGATAGTGACAAAATTAAGTTTCAAGGTTTCCTGCCCAAGAGGATCCTCAAGAATTTTTGATCCGCTGTGGGAACATTTTGGCTCACGTGCCTAGGCTCCCATAGCAGCTCTAGGGATCATACCCGTTTCTTCCTGGGGAAGAGGGGAAAGGGAAGTTCTGAATACCTTTTTTTTTTTTTTTTTTTTTTTTGGCTTTATCTCATGTTTTTCCCGTCTGGGGGATAAGGCTTAATTTCCCTTACCGGAAATGTCTCGCCTTTGGGGGTGGGCTCAATTTCCCCTACTGAAAGTCTTGCCTTTTGGGATGAAGTTCAATTGCCTTTACTGGAAATTTCTTGCCTTTTGGGGTGCGGCTCAATTGCCCTTACTGGACATTTCTTGCCTCCCCTACTGTTGGAGGTTTGTGTGAGGTTCAGTCCCCCCAATGGAGATGTCTTACCTCTTTTTAACCTTCAAGCCACCGCAACCGAGGAATCCTTTACCGCCCCCTCCTCCACACCCCCCCCCCCAGACTTTCCTTGTCTTGGTATATTCTGACCAAGGAATAGTTTACTGCTCCCCCATCCCACAGCTTTTCTTATCTTGGTCCCGACCACCAGGGAGATATTTTACCAGCTCCCACAGTGTCTTTTTTTGGGTCTGTGCACAGAGTTGCTTAGTTGCGTGGTATTCATAGCCTCTCCCCCTTTTGTTCCCGCGTTGCCGAGAGCCCGGGCTTGTTCATCACATGGGGTAGGTCTCAATCCCTTACCCACAAGGCTGCTGTAATGAAGCAGCAGGACGTGTCCCCTCACGGGAGAGGGCCAGAGACTGCCTGAAGGAGAATGGTGAATCCCGGAGGAGCCCCTCAGAATTGCTGTAAGTAAAATTTCGATGCCGCAAAAGAAATAGCACTCAAAGATAAATCCTCTCAGCAGGGCAGTTCTATCGAAGGGTGCCGCGCGCGGATGGAGCGATGATGGCGGCCGCGGGCCTGGACAAGGAGGGAAGGGGTGCTTACGCCTGACAGGGTCGGCCCTACTGCAGTGTCGTTCCCCTATTGGTTAAGGTTAGACCGCCCAAGCTAAACTAATCCCGATTGGCTGTTTTAAAAAGGGCAGGGGTCCAAGCTGGAGGGGCGGGTCAGAGCAGGTAGCCAAGGAGAACTAGGTGACTGGGATGAGTCAGGATGGAGTGGGTGAGGGGGAGCAGATGTGAACTACTGATTAGAACTGGCGCAGAAGGTTGATTACTGGAATTGTGAGGAGGTTAAACATTAAAATAGAGAATTAAAGAATAAGAGAGCTGAACATACTGACATACTGATTCTTTGAAGAGAAACGGCGTTCACTATAACAGTTCCAAAGAAGTTTCTCTTTCTGTCACACACGCAAACACATACACAGGTGCTTGGTATCAGGTGGAACAACGGCATATCTGTGGTAGGATCACAATGATTCAGAGCTTATGAAGTTCATGGTACCTAGGGGATTGATTCAGCTTTCAAGTAGCTGTGGATGGTAAGATTAAAAGGACTACTCTCCTTGGGGACTTTTAAATAATGACATTATTGGTTATCCTTTGAGCAGCATGGAGAGATGTGTGAAACCTGGAATGCAGACCATTTTAATAGTTGCATTTAGAATGGATGATACTTGCAAAAATCACTACTTCTTTACCTTACCACCCAGAATGACAACGGGGTGCTAGGACTAAGCGGACTTCACTATTCTTCTGTATCTGATGTGAAAACGTTATAGTTGATGGTTCAGGATCAGTGCAGAGATGGTAAAGGGGCAGAGGATGGAACTATGAAATCAGAATATTGGCACACCTGGTCATTAGATTAAGTCCAGCAAGGGAGTTTAAAAAATATCAGTCTCCAGGCTCCATGCATGGAGATTTTCATTCCGCACCTCGCGGGGTGGAATCCCATCAGCTGAGTGTGATAGCTGGCTAGAATTGGGTAGTTTGGGTTTGGATGGTGTCAGAAAGACCAGAGAGTAAATCTTCTCTTGGGTAATGAATATCTACAAAACCTTAGGTAAGACACATTTTGTCTGAGTCTCAGTTTCCTTATTCTGTGGTCATTGTCTTTACCGGATGGTGGACAACTTGAGGGCAGGAGCTTTGTCTTCTCCTTATAATCAGCTACTTGCATTGTGCCAGACAGATAGTAGGACCCTAGGTAAATGGTTTGGAATGAATGAATGAATGAGTGAGTGAAAGATGAATGAATGAATGTTGGAAGGAAGGGATATATGAATGATATCTCATCAATTTATTGTGTGTATTAAATGAGGTAATTGTACGTATTACACCTGACAGATAGTGGGGATTCTAAGAAGCTTCCCTCTTCCTTTTCCATTTTCATATTCTACCATCCAGCATGCCCATTGTGTGGTATTGTTTTTATATTTCTATCTCTTCCTTTTGTCTTTTTGAAAGAGGAAAGAGGGGCTAAGTCCTTACTCCTTCTGTTTTCTGTTCACTTGCATCTGCCCACAGCAGTCTCTTTAGCATACATTATTAGCTCAACTAGACTTACAAACTGCCCTTCTAACTCAAATCCTTTCTGTTTCCCTAAAGAAAATGTTTTTTTGTTAAAAAATTTTTAAAACAATAACCTAGGTTTTGAAGAAATAAAAAGTAAAGATTTTAACCACATTTGTGTGCTTCAATTATTAGTGTTTTCCCTGTGGCCCATTTATGTGGATAAGAGACATCTCTATGTTATTATCTTGTCAGAAATATAGCCCCTTCCCCTTCCTCTCATCTGATTAGGCATTCTCCTCTTTTGGAAGCCTCACCCCATTTGGCTAATGCATCTTGACGACTCCTTTAATAAGAGTGCTTGGTGTTTGCATTCAAGGATGTGTAGGAGTTGACAGAAATCTACCTTGTAATCTTTCCATGGCTTGAAAATAAAGCACTTCACCCAGGGAGACCTAGCACCTGCATCTCTCCACTCCAAATGCCAAGAAAGCTTGAGGGGAGAGGGATGGCCATTGATTTAACAGAAACAGTTTTGTTAGTGTTTTTTTAATTCTTTTTCTTGTGAAAAAGCTAGCGGAGGGAGGGAAAATTTGGGAAGCAGAAAATGTTTAATCTAACTAAAAAAGAGGAAAAAAAAATAACCCAACAACAAGAAAAGCCAAGAGAATATAAGAAGGCAGCCTCCTTTTGAAATAGATTAAGGCATTATTATAAGAGCATCATAGGACAAAGGTGTCTCTGCAGGACTGGGAACTTCAGCAAAGCACATAAAACCTGATTCTCAGACAGGCCTGGAAGAGCCACTCCACAAAGCAGTGTGTGCCTAGGCACCTCTTCTAAATTCAGGAGAGCTCTGCAGTCATTTCTTTTGGGGACAAGTGTAATTTCTTATGGGGCTGGTGTAATCAGGGATATAACTAGGAATCTCCTCTAAAGAATAAGTATAGACCAGGTCAAACAGAACAGTTGTGATGTATTTGTTCTCCACAGTCCCAGGATCTCAGGCCCCTTGTCCTCTATGGTCATAGAATAGCCTGGGACACCACTGTGGGCTGTGGTGATCATGGGTGCCACTTACTGAATATTTTTGTATCCTGAGCACTTCCTGTGGTAGGATTGTACTTCCTCCTTGGGCGAGAAGAACATTGACTAGTGCTGGACAATGAGAGGCAGCTACAAATGACATGTGTCACCCTGTGGGTGGGCTAAACATTTTATTTCCAGTGCGAGACCTTCCTGGGTGCTCTCTTTTCTCTATCATGACAACCAGTGACTTTCAAGATTGTGACTGCTCCCTCGGAGGTCCCTGAGTGAGTAGATGAAGTTCCTCCCTGTCACACCTGTGACAGATGTCTATTGTGAATGAGAAATACACTTTTGGGGCTTTAAATCACTGAAGCTTTCAGGTTGTTGGCTATTTCAGCATAACCTACTTATCCTGACTGTTACAGAGTCTGATCCTGATGCAAAACCTAACCAGGAATTGAAGGCTTTTATCTGTGGCCCTTTATTCTTGAAAGTGAACATTCTGCAGGGCAGTTTGGATCAGTGGCAATAAGGGAATGGTGCTCATTAATCCCAGGATCCCTTAGGAGCTCAAATAAGACCGCCAACTCATGCCAGGCTGCACAGCAGGACACTGGGTCACCAGGAGAGTCAGAAGACCATAACTCCTGCTGAATGTTAGGAAGCACAGCAACATGTGATCTGGGGCCTGGTAACAGCTATGGACTCAGTAAACAGCCCTGAAATGTGAGGTCTCCAGGCAGATCTTTCTGATGCTCTCTTTGGTTGCAGTCTGCTTTGCTTTATTTATGCAAAGAGTATATCTCTGGGGGAAAAATCAAGTCATATCATAGATGCATCAGAGAAGCTTACTATTTAAAGAAGTCTATGGCGAATCCTTTTGTGAAGGAATAATCATCTACCTGATTTGCATTTGCTTTGTAACTTTTGTTTGCACATCAGGTTTTATGAATTTGGGGCACATCATAATTCATAGCGTCAAACAGAGTCCAACAGAGCTGAATTTTCATCTTAGCTTAGCTAAAACACAAAGCTTGATTTTTTCAAGGGGTACAGAGTGAGGGGCCAACTGAGGAGGAATTTTT